TTCAAAAATAAATAAACATCAAAAAAATTAAAAAAAAAAAAAGAAAAAAAAATGAAAACTCACCCAAATTTTAAATACGTATCTCCTAATACTTAAGGCATTAAGGAGTTAATACTTAACTCCTTTTCCTTTTGTTGTTAGCTATTATTCATAATTGCATACGAATAAAGTTTTAAAGGTTACCCCCAAAAGTATTTTTTTTTTAATTTTTTTTTTCAACGTTTTTTATTTATTTTTGGGACAGAGAGAGACAGAGCATGAACGGGGGAGGGGCAGAGAGAGAGGGAGACACAGAATCGGAAACAGGCTCCAGGCTCTGAGCCATCAGCCCAGAGCCTGACGCGGGGCTCGAACCCACGGACCGCGAGATCATGACCTGGCTGAAGTCGGACGCTTAACCGACTGCGCCACCCAGGCGCCCCACCCCCAAAAGTATTTTTAAGTGAGTTTTCTATTATGTACTTATCTATCTATTTATTTTTAGAGCAGAGAAGGAAGGAGGAAAGAGCACGCAAGCAGGGGAGAGGGACAGAAGGAGAGGGAGAGAGAATCTTAAGCATGCTCCACGCTCAGCACAGAGCCTTACGTGGGGCTCGATCCCACAACCCTAGGATCATGACCTGAGCCAAAATCAAGATTCTGATGCTTAACTGACTGAGCCATCCAGGCGTGCCACCCCCAAAAATATTTCTCAATGTATTGTCCAAATTTGAGATATTTTCCTAAAAGATATAATAAATAATCGCTTCTTCCTTTGTCTGGATTTAATGTTTCTCTGGACTTCCCAAGGGCCTAGCTTGGGATCCTACACCTCTGGAATTTGTGGAAATTTTATGGGCTAATTTATGAATTGGAGATTTCTGGTCTGATTTAGCTGTCACTGTTCGACTTACCTCTCTGTGTCCCGTTCTTTCCCTTCTCCCCCATCAGTCACAGGTTATGGCTCAGTCACTGTGGATCCCCTGGTTCCCTGACATTATGGCTGGTTTGGAGATGGCGGTGGGCAGGTATAAGACAGATCACAGCCCCAGGGAGTCAGTATCTTTCAGCTTCCCAGATGCCATTCTGAATTCCCCATTTAGCTATCCACCCCTAGTTAGTGCTACTCTTGAGTCTGTTGAGTCTGTCTAGAAGCTACTGATGTTACCATGGGTTTTATTAACAATGGAGTCTAAACATGGAGTGGAGGGTTCTTTGGGACTCAGTGGTCCACAGAACTCTATTCCTTGCCTGGCCTTGATTCTCTACCTCAAGAAAAGCCTGACCCTGTGGCTCTCATAGCTGCTTACTTGGCCAGTTCTTAGGTATTAACGCAGCACAAGTTATCCAGGCTTCTTTTTATTTTTATTTATTTATATTTATTTTTTAAGTGTGGAGCCCAACATGGGGCTTGAATTCACGACCCTGAGATCAAGACCTGGACACCTGGAACACCTGGGTGGCTCAGTTGGTTAAGCGTTTGACCCTGGCTCAGGTCATGATCTCGCGGTTTGTGAGTTTGAGCTCTGCGTCGGGCTCTGTGCTGACAGCTCAGAGCCTGTAGCCTGCTTCAGATTTTGTGTCTCCCCCTCTCTCTGCCCCTCCCATGCTTGTGCTCTGTCTCTGTTTCTCAATAATAAACAAATTAAAAAAAAAAAAGACCTCCACATTGCCAGTGCAGAGCTCAACGTGGGGCTTGATACCATGAACCACGAGATCATGACATGACTCAAAATCAAGAGTTGGATGCTCAACTGACTGAGCCATACAGGTGCCCCAATTTACCCAGATTTCTGAGCCTAAATTCAGCTTAAATTCTAGTCCTACCTTGGCTGTCTGGCCCTTACCTAACCAGTACTGGGTTACTCCTCTCTATGAGACCCATAGCTTTGGGCCCTGTGGGAGAGAGGAGCCCACTTTACCCTGACAGTACGTGTCAAACAATAGTTCAGAACCTATGTTCCCTAAAGTGTTGACCTTGGCTTGCCAAAGGGATCTCTTAGACATGAGGAAAGGGTGAAATCCTACTTTCTTCACAGCTAAGTATCTTCAAAAAGAGGGCTAATCTTCAGTGTAGTTTTCATAGGCCTTTCCAAGCCTTTTAACCTTCCTTTTTCTAAAATCTACGTGGGACCTTTACGTATAGACTCTTTCCTGGGAAAAAAGTGGCTGTCTAAATGGTGTTCACTATTCCGCCTTTCCCATTTGCTCTTTCCAGCTATCTTGTTCTTCCTCATCTTGTGCTCTCCGAAGTAGCTGGACCATTGAGGAATAAATACAAATCTCATAGCTCATGTTGCAACTGTGCTCTTAGTGCTGTATGTGCTCATAATGCTATGTGCTTCCTGTCATAGCCCTACCCACTATATTACAGTCCCTATCCCTCCACAAACAGTAAGCCCTGTGAGGATCAGGACCGTATCCATATTGTTTATCTCCCCTGTGTCTAGCACAGTGCCTTGTACACAGTGCCTTGTATAGCCTCTAATATATGTATGTGTTCAGAGACCTTAAACTTTACCAAACTCTAATGACTGACCAGAGTTCTCCAAACGTCCCAGCCTTTTCTAATCCCTGATCCAAGAAGACCAGTCTTGCTTTCCCTGTGGGCATGAGTCTGAACTCTTCTGCCTATCTCTTGGTGGTGTTGTATAAACAGTGGTTAAGAGACTCTGGATGGAGTCTCTTGGTTCAAACCAAGACCACTTGGTTCAAATCCTGGCCCTACCACTTACCAGTAATGTCATCTTAGGCAAGTTACCTATCCTGTCTGGGTCATTTTCCTTATAAGTAAAATGAGGATAATGATAGTACCTACCTTATAGTGTTAACATCTATGAAAAATTTAGAATAATGCCTGCCTGTGGTAATGTTTGCTATGGCAATGATGGTGAAATTGTCAGTTTTGTATCTAAGTAAGTTATGATGCAACAGCTCCCCCCCCCCACCTTTTTTTACACCATTTCCCATTCTAATATTTGCAGCTTTTAGTCTAGGATGATCCATTTATCTTAGAATGAACACTAGTTTTGTTGTGGTCCCAGTTTAGGCTTTGCTTGATAAAAAGAATTTACTTTTAAACCCTTTCCCCCCCACTCCTCTTCCTTTCATAGAGTTTAATTCTCAAATAAATGATTTTGCTTTGTTTTGTTTCAAGAAAAAAAAAAAGAAGGAAAATGACAGATTTTTCACCATAAGCTTGTGACCAGGGTTGTTGTGGAGCCTTCCCCTAAAAAGTGCTCTGCCTCTGGTCTCCCATGGGATGGTGGCATAAGGTGATAGTTAAGGTCTGGCTTTGACATCAGAAATGTCTAGCTCTGTGTGCCATTTAATCATGCGACCTTGATAAAAGTACTTATCCTTTTAGAAGCTTGGTATTCTTTTATTTAATACCTACATCATAAAGTTCTAATAAGGATTGAATTAAATAATGTATGCAAAATGTTAGCTCAGTGCCCAGCATATATGTGCTCAATAAATGGTACTTCTTATCATTGCTATTTTTATTAGAGACTGGGATTAGAGGTGGGATGGCGACTATCCCTTGGAGTTCTCCTGTAGATTATTTCAGACAAATGGGGTTTCTACCAACAGGTGGGAATGAAAGTCTTAGGGCTATTATGTTTCTGATTATTTTTCTTTGTCTCCTTTGCAAAGGTTTTAATTTTTCCTCCTCTGGAAGAGAAGATGTAGATGTGAGAACATTAGGAAATGGTAAGATTGCAACAGCATCACTTGACTAGAACTAACTTTCAGACTATCACCCTTCTCAGACAGCAGGTTCACTGTAGTTGCTCAGTTAAAACCAAAGTGCGCAAAGCCCAGAGCTTCTCCCAGTGAGGAGGCTTTGCGAATTATGGAGCTACCTTTATAAATTATATGATTATGTCTTAACAGGAATCATGTGTTCAGAAGCCATCCTTATTGCATACCTATAGGTTCTAAGGGAATTTTATGTGCATTAACAAGGTGGTAACCAAGTTTTTCCAAAAGTTTGATTATTAATTGTTCCATTTGCTAACATTTCAGCAGTACCAGTACAGTTTTCAAAATGCACATCTTCATTTAAAAAGTGATTCTGTTCTCTTAGCCTTCATTTCTCTCATTTTGCATTGTTGCATTACAAGAAAGATGCTGAGAGTTAATAGTCCCTTCCCCTTATGGAATCACAGCTTTTCCATTTCACTAGTGGATTAGGCTAGGAGGATGGATTTCAGCTTGGTATACCTGGGCATTGCTGTGTGTAATAATGTTACCTTTGTGTAACCAAATCAATTAGCAGTTGTTTGGATTTTATTTTGTAATTAACACAGGCTTGTTCATGGACTTTTGGGAGAGCAGTCATTTTCACATGTTGCCTGTCCTGGGGTTTAGCAGCCCCCCAAAAAGCCCCTTGATTCTTTTCACACATTCTTCCCTCCCCCAGATGTAGTCATGTCACTAAACTTTCAGTCCTCTAGAGCTCAACTCGTTTTTTCACACCTCCTAACCCTCTTGCATTGGCCCAAATGTTAACTCCATCAACACGTTTCTGTTTCATGACGGGGTGTGTGCTGCCAGGAAGGCCCTTTGCAATTGAGCTGGTGAATCCTCATAGAGTACATTTCACTTCACAAGAAATTAAGGAACTTCAGCAGGTAAACCACTTCATGACATGGAAATCGTCATGTTTCTGCAACTCTGTAACTGAACTAGAGTTGCTAATTGTTTTTCTTTTTCTGCTACTACAGAAAATTAATAATTCGTCTAACAAAATCCAAGTCCGTGACTTGCAGCTTGTCACAAGGTAAGGGTAGACTCACTGGAGACGAACTCAAAATGGAACTTTTGGTTGTAGGTCATGTATCTGTTAAGGGAATTGTATCCAGAACATATAAAGAACTCTTACAACTCAGTAATATGAAAACAACCCAATTAAAAATGGGGAAGATGATTAAGTGGACATTTCTCCAAAGAGGATACTATGTTTATGCATGAATACATGAAAAAAAAATGCTCAATATCATTTGCCATTAGGGAAGGGCAAGTCAAAACATCAGTGATATCCCACTTTACTCTCACTAGGGTGGCTCACTAGGATGGCTATAATCAGAAAGACAGAAAAAAACAAATGCTGGCAAAGATGTAGAGAAATGGGAACCCTAAGAAATTGCTGTGAGATTATGTGTGGCCACTTTGGAAGACAGTTGGCAGTTTGTCAAAAGGTCAAATGTAGAGTTACCATTATGGCCCAGCAACTCCACTTCTAGATATATACCCACAAGAAATGAAAATGTACACCCACACAAAGACTTGCTCATGAATGTTCATAGTAGCATTATTCATAATAGCAAAAAAGTAGAAACAACCCAAATGTCCATGGGTAACATATGGTATCTCCATACAACAGAATATTATTCGATAATAAAAAGGAATAAAGTACTGATACATGCACCAACATGATGAACCTTGAAAACATTATGAAGTAAAAGAAACCAGACACCACACACCACATATTGTATGCTTCCATTTTATATGAAATATTCAGAGTAGGGAAATCTATGGAGACAAAGTCAATTAGTGGTTGCCGAGGGCTAGGGGAAACAGGAAATGGGAAGGAACTGCAAATAGGGATGGAGTTTCTTTTTTGGGGTGATGAAGTATTCTAAAATTAGATTATGGTGATAGCTACACAACTCTCTAAACATGCTAAAAATCACTGAATCGTACAGTTAAAATGGGAATTGTATGTAAATTTTATCTCGATAAAGCTATTTTTGAAGAAAGGGAAGTTGGGGCAAGGCTTAAGTGTATTTTGTGTGTTTAGACAAACTTTCTTTTCTTGTTTTTGTTTAGAGAGGCAATAGGACATATGAAAGAAGGTGAAGAAGAAAAGACCAAATCCTACAGTGCCTTAATATGGACAAATAAAGCCATACAGAAAAAAGACATTGAATTCCTAAATGACATAAAGGTAGTTAAATGCTCTATTTTTTTTTTTTTTTTCTGATTGCCTATAAAATATTTCTTTGTCTTTTAGATTGTTAGTAGCAAGTCATAAAGCATGGGCTTGGGGGAATGTGAGACCTGCTTTCAAATCCTGGCATTGCCATTTACTGGTTGAATGACTGGGCAATTCATCGAACCTGTTTGAGACGCAGCATTGCTAGTGATTGAGATCCTGCCTCTGGGCACAGATTGCTTGGCTGCAAATCCTGAATCTGCATTTCCTAGTTGTGTGACTTTGGACGCGTTGCTTGGCTTCTTTATGCTTTGTTTCCTTCATCTGTAGAATTAGAAGAATGAAATGAGTTGTCATGTGAAGCACTGAGAACAGTATCTGGTACATAGAAAACGTGAGCAATGCTATTATTATACTTGGCCATCCGTAGAAAGGAAATATGAAATAGAATTGTCTAATAGAATTGATGCTAAGATAAAGTGTATAAATAAAATATGTTATAAATTTGTCTTAATGTTTATTTTTGAGGGAGAGAGAGAGAGACAGAATGGAAGTGGGGGAGGGGCAGAGAGAGGGGGAGACAGAATCTGAAGCAGGCTCCGGGCTCCAAGCTGTCAGCACACAGCCCGACACGGGGCTCAAACCCATGAATTGTGAGATCACAACCTGAGCTGAAGTCGGACTCTTAACCAACTGAGCCACTCAGGCGCCCCAACATGTTATAAATTTTTAAGAAGGATAATATATGTACAGCACAAATTTTGGCATGTGCTAGGTTTTCCTTCACATGAGCATACGGCACTGTAGAGGGTCTGCCTGTTCCTTTGCATGTTTCTTCCCACCTATCCCCATCTCTTCCTGTAAGGATAATTTACTCTCAAATGCAAGGAATGAGCATAAATGGATATAGAGGTCTGTATAGTTATCACAACGTTGTTAAAATGGGCAATATTTTGTAATAATCTAGATGACCTACTAGAGGAGACAGACTTCATCTTATGGTTTATCTGTATGATGGACTACTGCTAACCAGCTGTTAGAAATTATGTGGTAGATGACTATTGACAAAGGAAAATGTTCCTGATAAATGCTCAGGGGAAGAAAACAAGCTATAAGAGTATTTATTGGGTGATACATTGTGATTTAAACATACACATGAGAAGGGTGCCTCGGTGACTCAGTCGGTTAAGCATCTGACTTGGGCTCAGGTCATGATCTCATGGTTCATGAGTTCGAGCCCCATGTCGGGCTCTGTGCTGATAGCTCAGAGCCTGGAGCCTGCTTCAGATTCTGTGTCTCCCTCTCTCTCTGCCTTTCCCCCGCTCATGCTCTGTCTGTCTCTCTCCCTCAAAAATAAATAAACATTAAAACATATACATGAGTGTGTGTTTCTGTATACACATATATGCAACTATGTAGAAAACAAATCGTGTGGCAAAAGATACCATAAATAGGATTTCTACTTATGAAAAATGCAAACACCCAATAGAGAAAAATAGACAAAGGATCAAGCAGCTGAAAAAGAGCAACTGCATATGGCCAAGGATCATCTGAAAAGACGTTCCACTTTGGATTAAAGTAACAATAAGACATCACTTTAGTCCTCTGAGACTAGCACCTATTGGTTGGCATGGAGAAGACTAGTTGCATACTTTGTCAGTAGAAATGTAAAGTGTTTAGCCTGTTTTGGAAAATAATGTAGCAGTGATTCTAAAAATTAAAAACGTATTCGTCTTCTACCCAGCACTTCCACTACTGGCAATCTGTCCTGAAGAAATAAAACTCCAGGGCTTAAGGATTTGTGCACAAAGATGTTTACTGACTTTATTCAAAGTGGCAAAATCAACAACAACACAGCTAGAAACAAAGTGAACTTCCTTCAGAAAGGAAATGGCAGGGGCACCTGGGTGGCTCTGTCGATTGAGCGTCTGACTTTGGCTCAGGTCATGATCTCACAGCTCGTGAGTTCGAGCCCTGCGTCAGGCTCTGTGCTGACAGCTCAGAGCCTGGAGCCTGCTTCTGATTCTGTGCCTCCCTCTCTCTCTGCCCCAACCCACTCACATTCTGTCTCTGTCTCTCTCAAAAATAAATAAACGTTAAAAAAATTAAAAAAAAAAAAAAGGAAATGGCAGAGGAAGCTGGAATATTATAAAGTTATTAAAAAAAACTAAAGCAGCATGTGATCCCATTTATGTTATTGTGTGTATATATGCCTAAAATTGTTGGAAAAAAGGATAGAAGTAGGTCCACACCTATGACTCACAGAAACACACATGACATTATGAGAAAGAAAGTGAAGTGCAGAATAATGTTTATAGTATGAATCATTCACCTGTTTAGACACGTTCATCCCTAACACGGGGGTGGGTGTTGACTAGATCACCCCCAGAGGGCCTCCAGATCTTATGTTCCATGAGTCTATATCAAAAGCCGTTTGGTTTTTAGCCCATTATCTGCAGCCTTTAGAATGATAGTTTAGACAGATATTCTTAAGATTAGAAAACAAATTTCTAAACCACTATTTCACCACATATGTAAGTCATTCAGAATTCTGAGGGGAAGATGAACTCATTTAAAAAATAGATTTGGGGCACCTGGATGGCTCAGTTGGTAGAACATGTGACTCTTGATCTTGGGGTCGTGAGTTCAAGCCCCATGTTGGGTATAGAGATTACTTAAAAAAAAAATGCATTCATAGTTTGAAGGTAGCCCTATTCACATCTAATTTAGAAATAATGCTGAATAATGTGAAAGATAATTTTTGTAGGTACAGAGTAAGCAATGAAAGGGTCTATTTTAATGGTTCATAGCTCAAATGGACTGATGGGACTAGCTGACTTCTAATAATTTTTTTGTGTTGGGGTTAAAACTATTTTCAAATATTCCTATTGTCATCAAGAATAGAAAAACTGAGGGGCGCCTGGGTGGCTCAGTTGGTTGAGGTTCTGAGTTCAGCTCAAGTCATGATCTTATAGTTCATGAGTTTGAGCTCTCTGCTGTCAGTACAGAGCCTGCTTTGGATCCTCTGTCTCCCTGTCTCTGCCCCTCCCCTGCTCTTGCTATCTCTCTCTCAAAAATAAATAAACATTAAAAAAAAAAAAATAGAAAAACTGAGTTACTACCCCCATTTTTGAAAATCAAAAGCTGGAATTGCTATTTGTCTCTTCTTTTTGTTCATATTTATTCAGCCCCATTTATTTTATTTATTTATTTATTTATTTTTAAAAATTTACATCCAAGTTAGTTAGCATATAGTGCAACAGTGATTTCAGGAGTAGATTCCTTAATGCCCCTCACCCATTTAGCCCATCCCCCCCCCAACCCCTCCAGTAACTCTCTGTTTGTTCTCCATATTATGTTTTGTCCCCCTCCCTGTTTTATATTGTTTTAGGCATGCTTCCTTTCCCTTATTGATCTGTTCTGTGTCTTAAAGTCCTCATATGAATTTGAAGTCATATATTTGTCTTTGTCTGATAATGACTAATTCAGCAACTTATAATACCCTCTAGTTCCATCCATGTAGTTACCATTAGTGAATTTCATTCTTTTTGATTGCTGGTAAGCTTTACATTGTATATATATACCACCATCTTCTTTTATCCATTTATCCATGGATGGACAGTTGGGCTCTTTCCATACTTTGGCTATTGTTGATAGTGCTGCTATAAACATTGGGGTGCATAATGATCCCTTCAAAACAGCATCCTGTATCCTGGATAATACCTAGTAGTGCAGTACTGGAGTGCGTGGGTGTAATTTTATTTTAATTTTTTGAGAACCTTACTGTTTTCCAGAGTGGCTGCACCAACACAGTAATGCAAAGATCCTCTGCTCCTCATCCTGTATCTGTGTTGTTGCCTGAGTTTATTCGTGTAGCCATTCTGACAGGTGTGAGGTGGTATCTCATTAATAGTTTTGATTTGTATTTCCCTGATGATGAGTGATGTTGAGCATTTTTTTTCATGTAATGTGTGGGTTGTATCTGGATGTCTTCTTTGGAGAAGTGTCTATTCATGTCATTTGCCTATTTCTTACTGGATTATTTGTTTTTTGGGTGTTGAGTTTGATAGGTTCTTTATAGATTTTGGATACCAAGCCTTTATCTGATATTTCATTTGCAAATATCTTCTCCCATTCCGTCAGCTGCCTTTTAGTTTTGCTGATTGTTTCCTTTGCTGTCCAGAAGCTTTTTATTTTGATGAGGTCCCAATAGTTCATGTTTGCTTTGTTTCCCTTGCCTCCAAAGACGTGTTGAGTAAGAAGATGCTGCGGCCAAGATCAGAGAGGTTTTTGCCTGCTTTCTCCTCAAGGATTTTGATGGCTTCCTGTCTTACATTTAGGTCTTTCATCCATTTTGAGTTTATTTTTTGTGTATGGTGTAAGAAAGTGGTCCAGGTTCATTCTTCTGCATGTCGCTGTCCAGTTTTCCCAGCACCACTTGCTGAAGAGACTGTGTTTATTCCACTGGATATTCTTTCCTGCTTTGTCAAAGATTAGTTGGCCATATGTTTGTGGGTCCATTGCTGGGTTCTCTATTCTGTTCCATTGATCTGAGTGTCTGTTCTTGTACCAGTACCATACTGTCTTGATGATTACAGCTTTCTAATACAGCTTGAAGTCTGTTGTCTCTTCTTTTTTAAGAGTATTCTATTTCTAAGGAAAAAAAAAGTTGTTTGCGTATGTGTCTGTATTTCTGAAAATTCATCAGAATGGGGCCAGAAGAATGCAATGTTAAAGTAAATAGTTTCCTTTTGTCTACTGAAAACAAGCAGACACAAAACACACAGGAGTGTGTGCTGAACGAGTGTTATATTGGAAGCAGTGGTGGGTCTCCCAGCTCAGTCAGTACTTCCATTGACTAGGACTGGGAGTGAGTACTAGTACAGGGAGAGGAGCATTCTTTAGTCACTCATTTAAAGGCCAGTTATTTCTGTATTCTACAGTGAAGGCTGTATCTGTACAGATTCCTTAACAGTTCAGCCATGTCCTTTTTTTTGTCTCTTTGGCCGGAGAAATGTCAGACCTTATGTAGACAGCATATCTCAGCAGAACAACATGCTTCTAAATCCAAGAATTATGGAATCATAAAACCTACAAGTTAGGAGGGGCCATTGACTCACTGCTATGATCAAAACAGTCACACCATTTCAAGTGTAGTCTTTGTCAGAACTTGCTCTTTCTTTCTGGGTGGAAAACTTGATAGAGGGGAGACCAGACAGAAATCTTTGTTCTCTTAGCATGGCTTCAGGCACTCCCAAGTCGTATAAATTAGGAAGGAGTTGTTCCAACAAGAAATGGCAGAGGATTCAAAGTTCTCATGAACCTACATTTCTGGTTATATCCAATATCTATTTTTAAAACTTAGATTTAGTTGACCTTTTACAATTTTAATCTCTATTTCTTATTTTATGTCTTGTGACAAAAGGAAATCTCTGAAGAAAAACAAGGCTGTGCCCCTAAAAAATCTAAATTGTCAAAAGCATGTAGTATTGTTATTCTCAAGTAACTTGAACTGGGCTTACAAATACTGAGAGGTCTTGATTTATTGTACACACTTCTTTGTAGTTATTATATTGAAAATACTACCCTAAACAGTGATGTAACTTAATTTTCCAGATACATCTTTTCATATAACCAAAAAAAAAATAACCTAGTGAGTAGGTATATGGTTGTCCTTCAAACTTGCACACTGCCCATACACACAAGTGATGCCAAGGTCTCACCTTCTACAGAAAGCCATTTCTCACCTCAGCCATTCACCCCACTGTTAAATCATCTGTTGGGTCAGGGGAAAAAAAGGTAAGAACAGATCTTCTAGAAGAGCTCTGTTAAAGTAAAGGATAGACTAGAACTCTGGGGTCCTAATCAATTTGTTAAATATTAGAGTAAAAGAGACCTTGGGGATCATTTACTTCAAAGCCTTTAAAAAAAAATGTTTATTCATTTATTTTTGAGAGACAGAGCACAAGTGCACACAAGCAGGGGAGGGGCAGAAAGAGAGAGAAAGAGAGAGAGAATTCTCAGCCAGCTCCGAGCTGTCAACACAGAGCCCAGTGTGGGTCTAGATCCCACCAACTGTGAGATCATGACCAAAAGCGGAAATCAAGAGTTGGAGGCTTAACTGACTGAACCACCCAGGTGCCCCATCCAAATCCTTTTTTAATGGCATACGGAGGCCCAGAAAATGAGTAACTATGGACTAGGTTATGAGAAGTTCCACAGAGCCTGAACCTTTGGAGGTACGATTTATTATAGTACCAGTATCTACCCTGACAGTGATAGATGGGGTCCACCAAAGAAGACCTCTGTGGTGAGCCATGGATGACAAAGGAGACACTGAGACGGGCTTCCCCGGGTGCCCTGGGAGCAAAGCTGACTCCATGGTTGTGTAACATATCCTCCTCTAGGACTTAAAGATTGACCAGAAAACACCCCTCCGAGTCCTGCATCGGAGGCCCTTGGCTGTGAGAACTCGCATCATTCACTCCATGGAGACGCGCTATGTGGATGAACATCACTTCCACCTCTACCTGAAGACTCAAGCTGGCACGTATCCTTTTGCCTTTCGCCCAGCAGTAATCTAAGCGGAACCTTAGTGGAAGAGTTCACGCTGCCCCAGAAGATAGGTTCAACTTGATCTAGGAACAATTAGGGTAAGGATTAGGTTGGAGAAAAATTCTGTTTTGGGGTGTGTGTGTGTGGGGGGGTCCCATTTAATTTGTATTTTTCAAAATGACTTTTTAAACCATGAGTCAGCAGCCAATAGAGTGTGAACCTTAAAATAGTCACAGTGTCTCACACAATGCCCACTGCATAGTAAGTACTCAGGAAACAGTTCTGATTGATTCATTTATTGATTTGTGTCTTCATAACATTTTGCAAGTCGCGTTTTCATAACGACATTTGGGTCCTTTCAGTATTTGCAGCATTTGCCCCAGATTATTAAACACTGATAGTAGATGGGAGTGGCCCTACTTTACATACTGATCTACACTTTATTTGCCCACTGGCCCAAAACAAGAGAACAGTCCACAAATGATCACTTCTTCATATTGGGCTCTGCCTTGTATGGTTTTGTATTAACCCTGAGCTGCTGGTTAAAATACATCTGGCAGTTGCCTTAGTCCTAGCTCTAGTTTACTTTTCAAAAGTGCTCCTAATATTTGTGTGTTTGTTTTTTGTTTTTATATTATTTAGTGATCCAATAGTATGAAGTGATAAAATACTTAACTAGAATAAAACTAATGATCTACTTATGGATCGAAGGCAAAAAAAAAAAAGTTATTTTAATCACCAACTAGCATTGTCACCATATTGCTGTAATTAGTCTGTCTCTCTTTCCCCACCAACCTCCTCCCGCACCCTGCCCCTTGACATCCCAGAAGCAACCAGAATTTGCAAAGGTGAAATAGGTGTATGTTATTTACTCTTAAAATCTTTTCAACTTTTGGTTTAGATCGAGGGATTGATCTGTTGAGAAGACAGCAGGCAGACCTTTGTAATTCTGTTGTTTGGAGCACATTTGCCTACTGTAGATGGAATGTCAAAGAAATCACTTCTTTTTTGTTGTTGTTGTTCCCACTCTTTTTACCTAATTCCAGTTTAGGTGTAGTGTGCTCAGGTGAAATGCAGTGGTCTTTTGAAGAAACAAGTATCTTTTCAATCTTACTAAAACGTTTTTAGGACTAGCCATGTACCTGAATTTAAGGGATTAGCCAAGAAAGACTACTTGGTAAAGCTTTAGATACCATGTGGTTATACACAGAAGTATGTGGATTTTTCACATACATTGCTCAGTACACTGAACTAGTTCATTTGACTTATACCTCATCCTTCTGGATATGAATAAGAACATTCTGGCCCTTCCAGTTGGTTATTCTGGGGCTTTTTGGTCATGTCCCCTCATCATTGCTCCTCAGAAGTAGCATTCTCTAAAGAAAGTGAGAGAAAAAGAATTATAACTGTTATGTAATTATGCATTTAGTAAAGAAGGCAGTTACTAGATAATTATATGTCTTATCCTTGAGTCAAAACATTTGGTGAAAGTAGAGTGAATAAACTTTCAGAAAGTGAGGACATCATATCAGCATGTTAATGGTGGAAGTGTTTTATCATCTAAGAATAAACTTACTTTTCCTATTCAAATTATATCAAGTTTTTATACTAAGTGCTGGTTTATAGAACACAACATAACACTAAATGAGTTTTTACTGAATGCTAGCAAAATTGTATCTTTCAGATAAATATTTTCAAGCCTGTAGTAGAGTCCTGTGTAAGGAATATTAATATAATCTTAATAAGTAATTCTAGGATTAACCATTGACTTCAAAATTCGAAGACCTATGAGGGAAACACAAAATTGCCCCTTTAAAAGAAGAATTAACCTAATTCTCTTGTTAACCATGCAAGAGTTGCAAACAAGAACTTAGGTCCTTTGATAATCCTTCTGAAGGACCTTTCTCAAGACTAAATTAGTATTCTCATTGTCCCTCCCATCCTACTCCTATTGTGTCACTGGGTCACATTACCAGGAAAGCCATCATCGAGGTTACTCTGTGTGTGACCCTGTGGAAACTTATCATTTGGCAGATGCCAGCTGACATTATTGAAAAATGAGGCCAAAAAGATGACAAAATGGAATTTGTGGCAGAGAAAAAATAGCTAAGGTTTTGTTTTACTTAGTATTGAACTACAGTTAACTTAAAAAAATCCATATCCATGGGTCCCTGGGTGGTTCAGTCAGTTAAGCGTCCAACTCTTGATTTTGGCTCAGGTCATGATCTCACAGTTTGTGAGTTCAGGCCCCGCCTGGGGCTCGCATTGACAGCACAGAGCCTGCTTGGGATTCTCTCTCTCCTCTCTTTTTGTCCCTTACCCTGCTCGTGTGCATGCGCATGCACACACACTCTCTCTCAAAATAAATAAATAAACTTAAAAAAAATGTACATCCAGGGTCACCTGGCCCACTCAGTCAATGAAGTGTGCGACTCTTGATCTTGGGTTTGTGGGTTCAAGCTCTACACTGAGTGTAGAGATTACTTGAAACAAACAAACAAACAAAACTAAAAAAAAAAAAAAAAAATTCCATAGCTAAACTTTGGCACTTGGAGGTAAACTAAAGAAAAAAAGAAAGTCATGACTTTTAGTGCTGAGTCCTGCTGTTGGCTTCCAGGCTGGTGGGAACCAGTTTGCCAGAGCTTCTTTTCTTCTTTTTTTTAATTTTTTTTTTTTTTTTTTAACATTTATTTATTTTTGAGAGACAGAGACAGAGTGCGAGCAGGGGAGGGGCAGAGTGAGAGGGAGACACAGAATTGGAAGCAGGCTCCGGGCTCCGGGCTCCAAGCTGTCAGCACATAGCCCGACACGGGACTCGAACCCACAAACTGTGGGATCATGATCTGAGCTGAAGCTGGACGCTCAACCGACTGAGCCACCCAGGTGCCCCCAGAGCTTATTTTCTAAGACACACATCACTGGTCACAGCTCGGAAATAACCTCACCCTTGTAACATTTCTGCTTTTGTCTGTCCTTTCCCTTTTACCTATCAAATCTCACCAAACAGTTGGTGCTGCATAGCTATCTCCATTGTTTCCTTAAACAAATCCCAGCTACATTAAAGAGTTTGTACATGGAGACTTTGGGAGAACCAAGCCGAACATTGGCTCTCTAATGAATATGACTGCAGACATTCTTGAGCTGGATGTTGAGGTAAACCATTTTATTGTGGAAATGCCTGTTTGTACATTGAATTCAACAAAGTTCTGCTTTTTTGGGGGGGGGGGGTGGGCATTAAGCCAAACAGGTACCTATCTCCATTCACCGTAATAGGTATTTGAAAATAGTCAAAATCTCACAGTAGCATTGTATTGCAGGGAGGGACTCTTTGGAATTTTTATCTTTTTAAAAAATACAAGGTCTCATTTGTGATTTTTGCAAATATATAGCTAATTTGCTAACCAAGTTGCTTTACATGTGGCATGAGATCTTAAACCCTTAAACGGAGTGAGGAAATGATGCTTAAGAGCCCTTCGTATGTCCTTTGGACTCTAGAGAGTTAATTCCCATACCTGTTTTGTTTCAGGAGTTTCAGATTGCTCAGAAACATACATTCAGGACAGGGATAGAAAATGAGATGAGCCAACAATTATTTATAAAAGCAGTTCTGTAAGGGACCTCTATGATATGGTACAAATTCTCTGCTCTAAGTCTGAATTGAAACAAGGTTAAATTCTTAAGTATTTAGAGGAGTGGCATGAATAGGTCGTTCAGGAAATTCTCCGTAAGTATTTTTTCTCATTTGAGCATCAGTAGGTATTGAGTCACAAGTTGTGTCTCTGACAAATACCTGTTGAGGAAGGTGGTCCCTCTCCCAACCCACCCCCCAACAAAAACAATTTTAGGAGGCTAGCATTATGCACCTGGGATTGATGTTATAAAAAGAAGTGGGTATAACTGCCTAGTGTGAAAACATCTACGGTAATCACATGATCACTGGAGCATTAATACCTTACTGGCAGTTTTCTTCAGAGCTTTCAGATTAGATTTTATACAGCTCCTGCAGTATAGCCAGTGACAGCACCTTCAAGGTTGCAGGGAGCCTTCTCATGAGACTTATTTTGAGGAAGACAACCTTTAGTTGAAGAAAATCTCAACTGCATTCATCTTCCTTGATTTCAGTTCTTAGAACAGTTTAGGAATATCAGAGTCACGGGCCAATGTTCCTCATCCCTGTTTGTCCATTGGAATCACCTAGGGAGCTTTTGAAACCTCTCCTGCTTTCAACACATACAAGATCATGGTCTGAAATGTTTAGTTTTCAGGCATGAGAGACAACCCATGAACTAATATATGGGTGTTAAGTACATGGCTGTGTTCTGAAACAGAACCAAAATATCTTGGGATTTCTAAAAAATACACACACACATACACACACACCCAATTTTCCTGATTCTGGTAGTAACTTGTAGATTAATTTAAAAAAATCATGTCTAGTAAATCATACTGGGTTTTAAAATTTAAGTCTCAAAAACAAAACAAAACAAAACAAGACATGGGTACAGTGGATTTTTTTTAACTTTTCTCTCAAATTAGGCCCTCTAGGGTAGTTAAGACAAGGTGTAATTTCATACTTGTAAAGCCTAGGAAGTGATTGCTTATGTGGAGAAAAAATTGTCTGCTACTGTAATTTCACTATGACTTAAAGGTTTTGTTCTAGAAGAGCCAAACCAGGTGAGTAGAGATAGATAAATTTGATTTTTCAAGAAACAAAACTTCTGAAATGATACTCAGTGATCATTTATTCTTTTCTAGTTCCAGGCGCTCTTTCATATTCATTTATTTTTCATTTGGTTGCTAGGTTACAAATAACACTATAAGTGTATAAACTGCTTGAGTATTTGTTAAATGCAAGATGGGAAAATGAAAATGATCTGAAGAGTAAAATTTGCTGAGACTTCCGAGGGAAAGTTGGTCTTGCTCCCTGAGTTTGTTTGCTACTTTACCCATAAATAACATTTAGAAAATTTAGAGGTACTCTAGTCTCTTACTGTTCAAAGGTACAGTTAATAACTGGCTGATAATCAAATACTCTATGAATTCAGAAACAGACCTTGGGCCCAAGAATCTCAAGGCCTCATGTGGATTTTAGAGTGTTGAACTGTGGTATTTAATGACTGTTCTTCAAATGCAGTTTCTTCTGTTGTGTTATATTAACACTATTAAGTTTAGAAGCATTATCAGCAAATGCTTACTGGAACAGTAATGTTTTAATGTCTTGTTTTCTTCCTTCTAGTCTGTAGATGTTGACTGGCCCCCTGCTCTGAATGACTAGCTTTCAAACTTGGAAACACAGAGTAGGGTTTTCGTGGCACGATGTGGACATCCGTTCAGCATACACTGTATGATGGCTGTTTACTCACCATAACAGTGTCTTGGAAACCATTTGGATCATGTTGATCTATATATTTTAACATTTGTTGTAACATCTCAGGATCTATATATGTGTATATTTTGTGTTAAATGTTCTAAGGATATCTTATGATTTTTCTTGTTCCCTCTCCAACCCCCACAAGCCAAACTATGAATAATGGAAACATTCTCTTAATTATTCCATTTAGAGAAGTACACAAACAGGATGCATTCTGATAATCTGAGAAGCTAGAATTTCTTTCAGCACAATTTCCCTGCACAAGACATACCACCTTCAAAATCATGTTCTAAATTTGTTAAATGATCTTGACAAAAGATCTAGATTGATACACAGGACAGTATCCTATAATATCCTAAGATATCAAATGTAAATCTGACATCATTAATATTTTTCCCGGTAAACTTCAAGCAAGCCGTTGTCAACAGAAGTACTCTTTGGTATAATCTGTCACAAATCTTAATGACTTCAAGTTACTATTTTGACAACCTAAAAAAATCAATACCTTTCCTGGGGAGGGAAAGTGAAACTTAGGAATTGAGGTGTACCCTGGTAAGAGACTTCCATAAATCTTTTAAATAAGGAGACACAAGTGCCTTCAGTAATTTCAAACCCAGGGATAAGATTTTGAAAAATTAAGATTGCTAAACAATCTGATAAACAATCAGAGTGCTTCAATATATTATCCAATTTCACACATTTGCATCAAGTGGATAGGATTTTATCATTTCCATTTTATAAATATGAAAACCAAAGAATGAAAGTTAAATGATTTGTCTAAAATTGTTAGTTACTTCCTTAGGAGGGGCTAAAACTGAAGTGTCCTGGTCTTTAAGGTCCTTTCTTAATAAACCTTGTTATTGAGCACCCACTGTGTAAAGGAGGCACCTGAGAATGTCATTTAAATGTACTAACCATGAGAATTGACTTTTAGAATTCAGATGCCAAATCAAGGAGCTTACCAAAAAAATAGCCCAAGTATATTTCATATGATCTCATATGATGACCATTTGTTAGTAAGTTGGTACTATGAAGAGAGAACAGGAAATAAGCCAAACCTAAAGAAAATGGATGGGTCATTAAGAGGAATGTTTCAGCAATCTCATTAAAATTTGAGATTTAAGTATAATTTGTCACCCTGATTCAACTATCTGAGCTTATTTTAAAACACATGTGACTTGGATGGTATTGGATTATTGTTTTCCATCTCTTCATTAAGCCTACTTCATAGATACCAAGATGTATTATTCATTTTAGAAATCAGGAAAATTATTTAATTGACATGAAGTTCCGTATGTGAATACTAGCAAAAACTTTTTTCACTATTTTCAATGCCAGAAAGTGAGAAAGGGATAATGGAAATAAACTTCTGATAAACAGGTAAGAAATTTTGTGTGTTTCTCCATTTCTGGGGAAGTTTTGCCACAAAAGATTTAAATAATTTGGGAGATAGTCTTTTGCATGTTTCTTGTGGCTCAGCCTTGAATTTAGTGGAATCTCCAAACTGGAAAAATTAAGAACTTCCTTAACAGATTTCTATTTCTTAAATTTCTATTCCTGACATGCAAAGTTTTAAGCAAAAACATTAGCTGTTTATACTTTATTTATTCCATATGTTCATATATTATGAGACACAGGTTGTTAAAAGTTAACGTTAGGTCTTTGTGTTATGCAGAGCTGGGAATATTAAGTAATGAGTGCTATAGTTTCACTTTTGCCCATGTAAAATTATTTTTAGTTTTGTGATCTCCCCTCATAGCTTTGTTTAAATGAAGTCTTTAATAACACTTAAAGAAAGGGCCTATTGTACTTCTTAGTATTTCTTTGTTCCAAATACAGTCTGTGATTTAGTTGAGGAAAAACAACTCTGAATACCTGGAAAAGAAAAAAAGAAAAAAAAAATATCCCAAGTAAGGTAACTGGTGACATTAACAAGTTATATGAAATAAACTTGGAAGTTAAATTTCCATTTCCAAAGAGAAAAACATTTTACTTAGGCTGATCTTTTCTTTTGGATCTTTATCCTTGATTATTAAGCCCACATAAAGAGAATGAGCTTTGACACAAGCTTTTTGGATTTTCTGAAATGGTACCCCCCTCCTTTTTTTTTTTTTAAGTTTTTTTATTTTGAGAGAGAGAAAGTACATACGGGAGGGGCAGAGAGAGAGGGAGAGAGAGAGAGAATCCCAAGCAGGCTCTGAACTGTTAGCACAGAGCCTGACATGGGGCTCAAACTCACGAACTGTGAGATCATGACCTGAGCAGAAATCAGGAGTCAAATGCTTAAGTGACTGAGCCCCCTAGGTGCTGCTTTTTTTATTATGGAGAAAAAAAAAATACCGCTTTTATGATATTCATTTATTTTCATTTTGAAATAATTTCAAATTTACAGGAAAGTTGCAAGAAAAGTACAAAGAACCTTTTCCCCCTAAACCATTGAGCCAGTGATGCTTCATCACCCTGAATACTTTAGTGTGTAATTTCTACAAACAAGGACATTCTTCTTCGCCACAACAGAACCATCAACTCAGAAGTTCACATAGATACTACGACTGCGTAATCCACAGACCCCACTTAAGTCTCACCAGTTGTCCCAACAGTGACTTTCACGGGCAAGGGATCACACTTTGCATGTAACTGTTACGTTCCTTTAATCTCCACTAATCTGAAAAGTTTGTCTTTCCTTGACTTTCATTACTTTAATATTTTTGAAGATTTCAGGTCAGTTATTTTGTAGATTGCTCCTACATCTGGGTTTGCTTGATGTTTCCTTATTATTAGACTCAGGTTGTACCTTCCTCGCAAGAGTACCATAGGAGATATTATCTTCTTGCATCTTATCAGGTATTCTACAATTTTGATTTGTGCAGTTGCTGACAACTGGATTTTAATCACTTAATGAAGGTAGTGTCTGCCAGGCTCCTCCACTTTTATAGTTACTCTTTTTTCCCTTTAATTAATGTGTATCTTATAAGGAGATCATCACACTTTCATCTATTAATTTTAGCATTTACTGAAGATTTGTCAAATACTGATTTTCTAATTCCACCGTTCCTTTTACATTTCTTGGTTACCATTCCACTGAAAGGTAGAAGTTTCCCTTCTTGTGGATTTGTGGCTTCCTGTTTTATTTGACGGGTTATAATTTGTTACTTACGAATGCAAATGCATACACGCACAAACACATTACTTTACACATATTGAAAATTGGGAGTTATATACCAGTACTTCCAATTCCAACCTTATTCTAGTTTTTTCCCTTTTCATATTTGTAATACCTTTCTCTGACAGAAATCTGGCTCCCATTAGCCTTATTTATTTACTTGATAGATCAGTCCCCCTCCTAAATAACCAATCTATTTCTTATTCCAGATCCCAGAAAGTCCCCTCTCTACCACCCTCAAATGTTCTCCTTCAGCTCCACCCAGCAGTCCCACACTGGGGCACCACCTTTGCCTCCTGTGGCAAAGTACTTACCTGTACCTTGCTCAGAATAAGTGAATGACTTTTGTCCTGAATTATACAGGAAGGGAGAGAGGCAGGAAATAAGTCAGGAAGGCAGAAAATGAAAATCTTTTAAAAATGCATTTTAGTACTCTACAGAAATTATCATTTCACAGAACAGTTACATATGCAGGTATATTCAGATATAGCTTTCCATAAAAATGCCTAATGTTTCTAAGCAACCCAACTACCTTTCCCAAGGAGGATGCTATAAATAACAAAATCTCATCAATAGTTTAAGTCAAATGACAACACAACAAAATTTTAAGTCTTTGAGTTTTTTCCATTTATTACCATGAAAAAAAAATCACTGTATACAAAGATATTACAAAGGTAATAAAATATTCTGTACAACAAAAAGCATCTTGACATTTTACAAATGATTACATCTTGATGTGACATTTAACATAAATAATTGAATACCTGAGAACTTAACAAAAACCACTTTTTACAGTGCCTTCAAATTTCTTAGAGCCCCTAAGAAGGGTAATTCATTAGTTAACACCATTTTTAAGTACATTCTTTTAAAGTCATTTTATTATTTTTTGAGAAAGCAAAAGAGAGCACAAGCAGGGGAGGGGCAGAGGGAAAGAGAATCTTAGGTAGGCTCCATGCTCAACATGGAGCTTGACGTGGGGCTCGATCCCATGGTGCTGGGATCATTCCCAGAACCAAAATCAAGAGTCAGATGCTCAACCTACCGAGCCACCCAGGTGCCCCTTTAATGCAGTCTTTTAAAACATAAAACATATAAAGGGTTCGTCTAGACATGGTACTTCCCAATGAAGTCTCCTGAGACTAAATTCCGTAAGTAGATCCCCAAATACTCCCATCTTCTCTATTACTACATTTTATGCAAAGCTACACTGTTTTGATTATGTAATAAGAAAAACAGCCACGATGTTTACTTTTATCAAAAACACATTTTATTTACTCTGCTGATATCCCTGAAAACTCGATTTACTGAAGCACCATTATTTACTAATTATTATTACTGTTCACACATAACTATTTAAGGAAAAATTTTTAATTCTTTCAATTCTTTAAAATTTTAAGATTCTTTAAATTTTTGAAAGTCCAATCGTAAACTGAAGTGGAAATGAGTGGTAAGTGACAAATGATAAATTCTACCCCCTCTAAATAATTACTAGCAGGTGGTATTTTTTCCTAAAGCTATAGACATTTCGAAATGAAACATATTTAGAAAATCTTTAGGAGAAATGAATGTTTAAAATTTTTATCTGTGTTTTATTTATTAGTGACAGTAGTGGGGACATAAAGGTTTTTTCTTAACCTATACTTTTGTATCATGAAAAAAATTACAATTACTTTTGAAATTCAATCTTATCCAATGATTTTAAGTCTGTGCTTTAAATTCTGCTAAGATGTATTAGTTAAAA